GGTTGGAGGATGGATGGCAGCTAATGGATTAAGGTTGAATCCTGACAAGACAGAAGTACTGTTTTGGGGGGGAAAGGGGGCAGGCGGGTGTGGGGGATTCCCTGGTCCTGAATGGGGTAACTGTGCCCCTGAAGGACCAGGTGCACAGCCTGGGAGTCATTTTGGACTCAGCTGTCCATGGAGGCGCAGGTTAATTCTGTGTCCAGGGCAGCTGTCTAACAGCTCCACCTGGAATGCAGGCTGAGACCCTGCCAGCAGACTGTCTTGCCAGAGTGGTGCATGCTCTAGTTATCTCCCGCTTCGACTACTGCAATGTGCTCTATGTGGAGCTACCTTTGAAGGTGACCCAGAAACTACAACTAATCCAGAATGCGGCAGCTAGACTGGTGACTGGGAGTGGCCGCCAAGACCACATAACACCGGTCCTGAGAGATCTGCATTGGCTCCCAGCACGTTTCTGAGCACAAGTGTTGGTGCTGACCTTTAAAGCCCTAAATGGCCTCGGTCCTGTATACCTGAAGGAGCGTCTCCACCCCCATCGTTCAGCCCGGACACTGAGATCCAGCGCCGAGGGCCTTCTGGCGGTTTCCTCATTGCGAGAAGTGAGGTTGCAGAGAACCAGACAGAGGGCCTTCTCGGTAGTGGCACCCGCCCTGTGGAACGCCCTCCCTACAGATGTGAAGGAAATAAGTAGCTATCTTATATTTAGAAGACATCTAAAGGCAGCCCTCTTTAGGGAATTTTTTAATATTTAATGCTGTATTGGTTTGAACACTCAACTGGAAGCTGCCCAGAGTGGTTGGGGAAACTCAGCCAGATGGGTGGGGTATAAATAAATAAATAAATAAATAAATAAATTGATTTTGCAAATTGCAGTAAAGAACATCAAAACAAGCCTTCCCAGATCTCTCCTGTGTCCTTGTTAAAGTATATGATTGGAAAGAAAGGATCCGTAGCTCAGTGACACAGCGCCGGGTTGAATTCTCAACTGCATCCCCAAGAAGGGCTGGGAAAGACCCCCCTGCCTAAAATGAGGCTGCATTTTAATGTTTTAATGTTGTATTTTAATCTTGTTTTTTAAGTTGTATTTCAATAAGTTGTTTTTATATTTGGTGTTAGCCGCCCTGAACCCAGTCTTGGCTGGGGAGGGCTGGGCATAAATAAAATTTATTATTATTATTAGACGCCCCAGAATGGTTTTCAGTTTGTCCCACGATTCCTAGGCATCCGTCCCAGTAGCTTTGCCCTTGCCCTTCCACTTTCCCCAGGAAAACCTGCTCTTTAGTGGTAAATTGGAACAACAAATATCCATCATGATTGACATCAGCTCCCTTTCAGCGGTAAAGATTAGGTTTCCCCAGGGGGAAGGCAAGTCTGGAGATGAGTTCTTAGTGTAACCACTAAGTTTCCCAAACTTGGGTCTCTGGCTGTTTTTGGACTACAATTCCCATCATCCCTGACCACTAGCTAGGGATGATGGGAGTTGTAGTCCAAAAAGCAGCAGAAGTGTAAAAATACTGAGCTAGATGGACCAAAGTTATAAGGCAGCTCCCTATGTCCGTTGAAGTCAAATAAACAATAAATAAAGGAACTATATAATATGGATCCTCCCAAAATCCAGCGTGGGTAGTTGGGAGGCCGCGAACGGAGCAGATGTGATGTGGCCCCTCACTTTCCACATACTGTGCATTACAGTGGTACCTCTGGTTAAGAACTTAATTCGTTCTGGAGGTCCGTTCTTAGCCTGAAACTGTTCTTAACCTGAGGTACCACTTTAGCTAATGGAGCCTCCTGCTCCCGCCGCACCACCGCTGCACGATTTCTATTCTCATCCTGAAGCAAAGTTCTTAACCTGAGGTACTATTTCTGGGTTAGCGGAGTCTGTAACTTGAAGCGTCTGCAACCCGAGGTACCACTGTATTTTAATTTCTGCATGACAGTGAGAAGCAGAACATGCTAATATAGTGGATGCTCGGGTTGCAAACGTGATCCGTGCGGGATGCACGTTCGCAACTAGCAGCGTTCGCAACCCACAGTGGCACGTCTGCGCACGCGCGGGTTGCGATCCAGCACTTCTGCGCATGAGCAAAGCGTGATTTAGCGCTTCTGCGCATGTGCGACCGCCGAAACCCAGAAGTAACCCATTCCAGTACTTCTGGGTTTCGGCAGGTGCGTAACCCGAAAATACGCAACCTGAAGCGGCTGTAACCCAAGGTAACACTGTATCAATTAGCAATTAAAGCCCCCCCCCAAATACCACTTTTCCAGCCTCCCGCTATTGACCTGGCTCCAGCCAAGAGGAAATTGATAAGACCTTTCTTTACGGAGGAGTTTTTTGGGCGAGTGAAAACAGAGAGAAGAACTAAGGGGTCTACTTTTGGGAACGATGCGGTTATTTATTTATATTTAAATTTGCGTAATTTTGCCCCTTCATCCGCAGATCTCGGGGCAGTTTGCAGCGTGAAAATACACAGCATAAACCACAAAATACAAGAATGAGAACAAACCAATAACCCCGCTCCCCACACCCCATCGTATTTTAGAAACGCAACCAAAGTTCAAATCCCAAACGCTAGAGACGCGTGGAAGTGGGAACATCGTTCTGAGCTACTCTTTGGGGCCTCTGGAAGCTGGGGCCCCTCCCACAAATTTGGCCATACCTGATCAGTCTGGCATTTCCAGCTTTTCCTGTTCTGGGGGTCCCCCATGCAAACCCCTTTCCCTGGGGAAAGAGGGGCTCTGGATCCTAAGAAGAGCCTTGTGGATCAATCCAATGGCCCATCTTGTCTAGCATCCTGTTCTCACAGCTGTCAACCAGATTCCCCAAAGGGAATCCCATGAGCAGGACATGCTATCTCTCCTCCTGAGGTTTCCAGCAGCCGGAATCAGGAAGCATGAGTATCATCACGGTTGGCAGCCATTGCTAGGCCTCTCCTCCATGTATCTCTCCAATCCTCTTTTAAAGGCCAACAGGACTGGTGGCCTGGCCATTTTCACCTCCTGCGGAAGCGAGTTCCACAGTTAAACCACGCACTGCATGGAACAGTCCTTCAATATTTTAATCTGTCCTCCATCTGGCTCCCAGTACGTTTCCGAGCACAATTCAAAGTGTTGGTGCTGACCTTTAAAGCCCTAAATGGCCTCGGTCCAGTATACCTGAAGGAGCGTCTCCACCCCCATCGTCCTGGCCGGACACTGAAGTTGAGCGCCGAGGGCCTTCTGGTGGTTCCCTTGCTGTGAGAAGCCAAGTTACAGGGAACCAGGCAGAGGGCCTTCTCGGTAGTGGCGCCCTCCCTGTGGAACACCCTCCCGCCAGATGTCAAAGAGAAAAACAACTACCAGACTTTTAGAAGGCATCTGAAGGCAGCCCTGTTTAGGGAAGCTTTTAATGTTTGATGCATTACAGTGGTACCTCTAGTTGCGAACAGGATCCGTTCCGGAGCCCCCGTTCGCAACATGAGCAGAACGCAACCCGTGTCTGCGTGTCGCGACTCGCCGCTTCTGCGCATGACATCATTTTGAGCGCCTGCGCATGCGGCGAAACCTTTTCCGTTACTTCCTGCGCATGCGGCGAAACCTTTTCCGTTACTTCCTGCGCATGCGGCGAAACCTTTTCCGTTACTTCCGGATCACCGCAGGACATCAGCTGAAAAGATTTAACCTGAAGCAAACATTACCTTGGGTTAAGTACTTAATTCGTTCCGGAGGTCTGTTAACCTGAAACTGTTCTTAACCTGAAGCACCACTTTAGCTAATGGGGCCTCCCGCTGCCGCCGCGCCACTGGAGCACGATTTCTGTTCTCATCCTGAAGCAAAGTTCTTAACCCGAAGTACTATTTCTGGGTTAGCGGAGTCTGTAATCTGAAGCGTATGTAACCCGAGGTACCACTGTACTGTATTTTAATATTTTGTTGGAAGCCGCCCAGAGTGGCTGGGGAAGCCCAGCCAGATGGGCGGGGTATAAATAAATTATTATTATTATTATTATTATTATTATTATTATTATTATTATCTCCCAACATCCAGATTCGTTGGAGGTCCACGAATCATGGAACTGGAAGGGACCTTATGGGTCATCTAACCCAACCCCCTGCAACGCAGGAATCTTTTGCCCGACACGGGGCTCGAACCCACGACCCTGAGATTAAGAGTCTCCTTGCTTGACCCGCGGAGCTCTCTAGTGTTAGGAAGAGGAGGGCAGGGAAACTGTGCTGCGCCTTGCACCACTTTCCCCGCGCCACGACGCGTGATTCGACGCGAAACGATGCCTTATGAGGAACGGCTAAGGGAGCTGGGCATGTTTAGCCTGGAGAAGAGGAGGTTAAGGGGTGATATGATAGCCATGTTCAAATATATAAAAGGATGTCACATAGAGGAGGGAGAAAGGTTGTTTTCTGCTGCTCCAGAGAAGCGGACACGGAGCAATGGATCCAAACTACAAGAAAGAAGATTCCACCTAAACATTAGGAAGAACTTCCTGACAGTAAGAGCTGTTGGACAGTGGAATTTGCTGCCAAGGAGTGTGGTGGAGTCTCCTTCTTTGGAGGTCTTTAAGCAGAGGCTTGACAAGCATATGTCAGGAGTGCTCTGATGGTGTTTCCTGCATGGCAGGGGGTTGGACTCGATGGCCCTTGTGGTCTCTTCCAACTCTAGGATTCTATGATTCTGCAAACTTCCCCCGCGTCGCCTCTTCACTCACCTTTCCTCTGAACTGCAAAGTCCCAAGCGTTGCAAACCTTTCTTCGCAGGGGAGTCCCGCGTCTGCAAAAGCTCGGCCTGCCCCTCCGCGCAGCAGCTAGGGGCGGGGGAGAGAGAGGGGTGTCCCCCCCTTGCAAAAGGGAATAAAGAGGGTGGGAATGCGGGAGACCCCGGCCCCACAAATCCCGCAGCCCCTTCCCTGGAGCTGAGGACCAAGCGGAGGAAAAGCTTGCAAAAGGAGGAGGAGGAGGAGAAACCTTCAGGCTTGCAGAGGGTGGCGACTCAGCTCCTGCCAGGAAGCTGTCGTCAAAGTCAGGGAGGGTGGCATTCCCTCCGTGTCCCCCGGAAGAGATAGGCAATAGGCGAGGAGAGAAGGAGGCTGGACCGGGCAGAGGTCAAGGAGGTGACCACAGGGCGGGGTGCGTGTGCAAAGGATAGGGAGAAAGATTTGCTGGGGGGGGGGGGGCGGGCAGGATTGAGAGGGGAAAGTCCCCCACCTCCTGGTCCAAAATAGGATGCTGGATCCACATATATATTGGCCTGTTCCAACCTCTTTTCCTTAATGGCACCTGCTGATGCTCAGGCTGCACAGAAAAAGCAATTTGGCTCCAGAAATTCATTTCGGTTGTGCAGATAAGATATAATAATAATAATGATAATAATAATAATAAAATTTATTTATAACCCGCCCTCCCCAGCCAGAGCCAGACTCAGGGCGGCTAACACCAGTAAAATTACAGTAAAATCATGGGGGGGGGGCAATTTAAAATACAGGTTAAAATGCAATTTAAAATGCAGCCTCATTTTAAAAGTAGCCCATAGATCAAAAATCAGCCCTGGGTGCTCACTGGAAGGACAGATCCTGAAGCTGAGGCTCCAAGACTTTGGACACCCATGAGAAGAGAAGACTCCCTGGAAAAGACCCTGATGTTGGGAAAGATGGAGGGCGCAAGGAGAAGGGGACGGCAGAGGACGAGATGGTGGGACAGTGTTCTCGAAGCTACCAGCATGAGTTTGACCAAACTGCGGGAGGCAGCGGAAGACAGGAGTGCCTGGCGTGCTCTGGTCCAGGGGGTCACGAAGAGTCGGACACGACTAAACGACTAAACAACAACAACAGATCAAAACCGTAAGGGGAGGGAAACATAAGGGTCAGACTGAGTCCAAACCAAAGACCAGCTGTCAAGTCCCGCAGGGCCCTAGTCTCTAGTGACAGAGCGTTCCACCAAGTCGGGGCCAGTACTGAAAAGGCCCTGGCCCTAGTTGCGAGCAATCTAACTGATAGAATTCTACAAGATGGGGTGTTTGTGTGTGAAAACAGTCCAGATCCATTGATTCCCAGATGGAGACGTCAGGCGCCAACCTGGCACCAAAGTATCTTCACTTTGCGCCATCCTTGGTGCCAGGATGGCACTCTCCACTTGGTCGCAAGTGGTTGAAAGCCAGGTGCAAAGTGTGCCTAGCACCTGGTTAATTTCGAACACTGGGAAGGGGCAGTCTCTCCTCCCCTGCCTCTGGTACATTGTTTTCCAGATCCCCAAGAGCGGATTTGGGCAGAGCACAAGGACAATGTGGGGAGAAGGTGAGAGAAGCCCCCTTGCGCTTGTGCTGGATTCCACTAACGCAACTGGGCAATAGATTGCCTCCCATATTTTTTAAAGTTATGTCCTAGACTTAAGGAAAAGAGTTCACTTACAAAGCCTGAAATTGTTGACAAGCTGGAGAAGGAAAGGCTTTGTGGAAGCAGGAAGTGGAGATGAGATGGAAGGGGAATTGAGATGGTTGGACTGAGTGCTGCGTTGGCGAAGAAGGAAAGACTTTCCCAAGAATGCAGGACAGTCTAGAACTACTGTTTGATCGCGGGCCGTCCCTGGTCGATCTTAGGACCCTTAGCAATTTCTAAGCAAAAAATAAAATAATAAAATAAAATAATAAAGCTCAACAAGTCTTGCTCCCTAAAAAAGCCCAACAACTCTGGTCAATCGCAGTCTCTTGTCTTATCTGAAGAAGTGTGCATGCACACGAAAGCTCATACCACTATCTAACTAAGTTGGTCTCTAAGGTGCTACTGGAAGGAATTTTTAAATTAAATTAAATTTATTTTATTTAGTCTCTTGGGAGTTGGACATGCCTAGTCTAGAATAAACATGGGAGCGGTATGAAAGAGATTTAGGTTGTAGATGTTAAGGGAGGCCAACCACCCTGAAGTCACATGCCATCTATTTATTTAAAGCAGTTACCCCAAAAATTGAGGCAGGTTTTGATATTTAAACTCCTGGAACCCCAAGCTGAACGAATTCTTCCCATGCCCTTTCTGTCCTCTGCAGGCAGTGCACTGACCCAGCTTGAGAGCTACCCCTGCTTTCAAGTTCATTGTGAGAACCCAAGAAGTGGCTGAGATTACATTTCCTTGTTCCGAAGCTGGCACAATGGCCTCAGAGGCAATACCTGGGTCTTCTCTTCTCTTGGGTGGAGTAGAAACACCTGCCAGGCATCTGCCTCAAGAAAGAGGCGGAGAATCAGTCTGCATACCTCCCTCTCTGTTAGGTGATTACTTGTTTTGCATTTGGCCTTGCAAGATGTCAAAATCACCTAATAAATGAAACCACACATATGACTACCCTGCTATTCCGCTTTCAAACTGGGAGAATCACACATTTTGGAGAAATTGTTTTCTTCTTCCAGGATCTGTTGACCGTCCAGGTTCTCTTGACCTTTGAGGAGGTGGCTGTGTTTTTCACAGTGGGCCCTGCTGGATCCCAGCCAAAGAGCTCTGCACAGGGAAGTCATGGAGGAAAATTATGAGACCGTTGCCTCTCTTGGTAAGGACATACTGGTATTTGTTTGACTGGTAAATGTCAAAGGTATGAATTTAGTGCAGGTGACTCCCCACTTCTATGGGGTTTATATTCCCTGGTACCACACATATATGTGAAATCATGTATAGCGTTGGGTTCAAAGAGACTTTGATTTGGAATGGAAATGTTTTATTGAATATATGAAAACTGATTGTATACATTTATAATTGCAGGATTGAAGTAAAAATGCAGTGAGTTAAGCTATACAGTGGGACCTCGGGTTACAGACGCTTCAGGTTACAGACTCCGCTAACCCAGAATTAGTACCTTGGGTTAAGAACTTTGCTTCAGGATGAGAACGGAAATCGTGCAGTGGCAGCAGGAGGCCCCATTAGCTAAAGTGGTGCTTCAGGTTAAGAACAGTTTCAGGATAAGAATGGACCTCCGGAACGAATAAAGTTCTTAACCCGAGGTACCGCTGTATAGAATTATAATATAATTATAATATAATTATCTTATTGACTTGGGGAGGATCTGCAAAGATGAGTGGGACAAAATGCCTCCTGAGATGTGTGCAAACCTGGTGGCCACCTACAAGAAACGTCTGACCTCTGTAATTGCCAACAAGGGTTTTGCCACCAAGTACTAAGTCATCTTTTGCAAAGGGATCAAATACTTATTTCACTCATTATAATGCACATCAATCTCTGACTTTTGTCTTCTGGGTTTCTGGGGTTTTTCCTGTTGTTATTCTGTCTGTCACAGCTGCAGTAAACCTACCATTAAAATTATGGACTGGTCATTTTTTTTCGTCAGAGGGCAAACGGGCAAATAAAGCAGGGGATCAAATACTTCCCCCCCCTCACTGTAAGTTCTGCAGTATAACCCCCAGGAGATGGTTCAAGCCAAGCTCCATATCGAGTGAGTGGGCTCATATTTACAAGTACAAGGCTGAACCTCCTTGGGGCCACACAGCTGTCTCCTTTTTCTCTGGTGCTGAAGTTATAAGATCAGAACGACTCTACTTGTTAACCTTGAGGTCACAGAAATGACTCAGTCTGAAGTGGCTGAATATTTTGTGGTCAAAAGTAAGCAGACTTGTTTGTTTCCTTCAAAGAATCAGCCCTGAATTACTGCTCAGGAAATCCCAAAGAAGCAGAAAGTGCAGCAGGTAAATGCTTAGCTGTGTTGTGGAGCTCCTTTTGGTCTAGGAGTAGTAAGAGTTTGTCCATTCCTGTAAAATCATCTGGGTCAAGGGGTGGGTAGGATTTGACCCATCAGGGTGCAAGTTCTCCTGGTTGACATCTTCAAGGGTTTATAAAAGAGAATGGACAAATTCATGTAAGATCTGAATGCAAGTACAGTGGTATCGTGGTTTTCAAACTTAATCCGTTCTGGAATTCTGTTCCAAAACCAAAGCGTTCCAAAACCAAGACGTGCTTTCCCAGAGAAAGTAATGCAAAATGGATTAATCCGTTCCAGACTTTTAAAAACAACCCCTAAAACAGCAATTTCACATGAATTTTGCTATCTAACGAGACCATTGATCCATAAAATGAAAGCAATAAACAATGTACTGCAGTCACACACTCAATCAATCAATCAATCAGTAGCTGAACTGGGTTCCACACAGTCACAAAAACAAAACAAAAAAGAGCCGCAAAAACACAAAATAAATAGCAAAGACAGACAGACTGCAGCGTAACACTCAAAACAGTAGTGTGGCATTCAAAACAGAAGTGTGGCACTCAAAACGGAAGCATAACACTCAAAACGGAGCACGTTCAGCTTCTGAAAAAAGTTTGCAAACTGGGACACTTACTTCCGGGTTTGCAGTGTTTGGGTTCCAAGGCATTTGAGAACCAAGGTACCACTGTAGTTCTGGTTGACATCTTCAGGAATTTATAAAAGAGATTGGACAAAATCATGTAAGATCTTAATGGCTGTTAGTTATGATGACTATGTGCTAAGCTCTGGAATCAAGGGAGCAGAAGAAGTCGTATGCTTGCCTTTATGTTCTGCTAGCAGGGTAGGCTACTGTGGGGATCCTGCACTAAATAGACCTTTTTGATCTGATCCAGATGGGCTTTTGTTAAAAAGAGGAGGAATGGCTTCCATGTTCAACGTTTCCCTTCAATGTAGTAAGGTACACCCTAAATTAAATAGCTCACTAGACATCCAAAGTGCCACTGAACTTGACTTAATATCCATTGAGTTCATGATTTTCTTCTCCCTCCCCTCTACCAGATGATGAGCAGAACACTGGGAATTATAGAGTGCCACCTGTGGTGTCGTTGGAAACATCTGTGCGTGAAACAGGAAGAGAAATGTTTGGGAAGCTAAGAGGACAAAAAAGGGACGAAGGAAAACAATCAAAAGAATGGGAAGAAGAAATCTGCAGGTTCTCGGGTATTGATGTCTGTGAATTCCTGATCCTACAAAAGATCCCAAAGGAAACAACACAGGGGGAAATGGCTATAAATCAACATTAAAGACATGTAGCAGAACCACACAGGGGCAAAGGCATTTAAATGCATGAAGTGTGGAAAGAGCTTCAGTAGGAGCTATAGCCTTACTTTGCATCGAAGAACCCACACAGGGGAGAAGCCCTTTAAATGCAAGGAATGTGGAAAGAGTTTCACTCAGCAGCAGTAGCCTTAGTACACATCAGAGAACCCACACAGGGGAGAAACCATTCAAATGCATGGAATGTGGAAAGAGCTTCAGTGTTAGCAATAGGCTTTCTTTGCATCAAAGAACACACACAGGGGAGAAGCCATATACATGCACCGAGTGCGGAAAGAGCTTCAGTGACAGCTGTAGCCTTAGTAGACACCAGAGAACACACACAGGGGAGAAACCATTCAAATGCATGGAATGTGGAAAGAGCTTCAGTGATAGCAATAGTCTTTCCTTACATCAAAGAACACATACAGGAGAGAAAGCATTTAAATGTAAGGAGTGTGGAAAGAGCTTCAGTGAGAACAGGACTCGTATTGTGCATGAAAGAATACACACGGGGGAGAAACCACTTAAATGCAAGGAGTGTGGAAAGCGCTTTCGGTCTCACAGTAACCTTACTGTACATCGAAGAACCCATATGTGAGAGAGGCCGTTCTGGATATAGCCTCCATAAAAGCTCAACAACGCCCTTTTTTTTGGTGCGATTTTGCCAAAATCTTTGGCCAAAAAGGAAAAAGGAAAGCTCAACAATGTTGCCCAAAAAAATCTCAACAACTTTTCTGTTCAGATTTTCACAGTTTGAAATATGGCAACCCTAGAGGGGCACAAACATCAGAGAGGTTTAAATGTATGCAATGTGGAAAGAGCTTTAATGTGAAGTGGTAACTTCACATTTAATTGCAGCTTAATAGAAAAGCTCAATCATCTGGTCAAACAGATTCCTCACTGGCCTTGCAGACAATTTCATTGTCCAGAAAGTGGGAGCAGCAACAAGAGGAACAGCCATTTTAGATCTGGTCCTAACCAATGTTGATGACCTGGTTAGTGGGGTAGAAGTGGAAGGATCATTAGGCGCGAGTGATCATGCTCTTCTGAAGTTTACTATACAGCGGAAAGGAGCAGCCAAGCATACTAGGACTCAATTTCTTGACTTTAAGAAGCCGACTTCATAAAACTTAGGGAAGTGCTGGGTGAGATCCCATGGACAGTAATACTAAAAGGAAAGGGAGTTCATGATGGCTGGGAGTTTGTTAAGAGGGAGATAGTAAAAGCACAACGTCAGGCAATACCAATGAGACGGAAACATGGAAGGTGCTTAAAGAAGCCAGGGTGGCTATCTAAAGAACTTTTAACTGAGTTAAGATTAAAAAGGATGTGTACAAAAAATGGAAAAGGGGGAAACCACCAAAGAGGAATTCAAACAAATAGCCAGCACGTGTAGACACAAAGTCAGAAAAGCTAAAGCACAGAATGAACTCAGGCTTGCTAGAGAGGTTAAAAGCAACAAAAAAGGCTTTTATGGGTATGTTCGTAGCAAAAGGAAGAACAAAGAAACAGTGGGGTTACTCAAGGAGAAGATGGTGAAATGCAAACAGGGGACACAGAAAGGGCTGAACTCCTCAATGCCTTCTTTGCCTCAGTCTTCTCCGATAAAGAAAACAATGCCCGACCTGAAGAATTTGGAGCAAATGATTCAGCAGAGGAAACACAGCCCAGAATAACTAAGGAGATAGTACAAGAATACTTGGCTAGTTTAGATGTATTCAAGTCTCCAGGGCCAGTATTGAACTGCATCCAAGAGTATTAAAAGAAACTGGCCAGATGTGATGGCTCAGAGACCACTGGCAGTCATTTCTTTTGAGAATTCCTGTTGAAGAAAGCAGGCCGACGAGTCCCTGGGCAGACTGGTGAAGAGAGGGCAAAATGATAATTGTACCCTATTCTCAAAAAGGGGAAAAGAGAGGACCCAAATAATTACCGCCCAGTCAGTCTGACATCAATACCAGGGAAGATTCTGGAGCAGATCATTAAGCAAACAGTCTGTGAGCACCTAGAAAGGAATGCTGTGATCACCAATAGTCAGCATGGATTTCTGAAAAATAAGTCATGTCAGACTAACCTGATCTCGTTTTTTGACAGAATTACAAGCCTGGTAGATGAAGGGAACGCAGTGGATGTAGTCTACCTTGATTTCAGCAAGGCATTTGACAAGGTGCCCCATGATATTCTTGTAAAGAAGCTGGTAAAATGCGGTCTTGACTATGCTACCACTCAGTGGATTTGTAACTGGCTGACTGACCGAACCCAAAGGGTGCTCATCAATGGTTCCTCTTCATCCTGGAGAAGAGTGACTAGTGGGGTGCCACAGGGTTCTGTCTTGGGCCCGGTCTTATTCAACATCTTTATCAACGACTTGGATGATGGACTCAAGGGCATCCTGATCAAATTTGCAGATGACACCAAACTGGGAGGGGTGGCTAACACCCCAGAGGACAGGATCACACTTCAAAACGACCTTGACAGATTAGAGAACTGGGCCAAAACAAACAAGATGAATTTTAACAGGGAGAAATGTAAAGTATTGCACTTGGGCAAAAAAAATGAGAGGCACAAATACAAGATGGGTGACACCTGGCTTGAGAGCAGTACATGTGAAAAGGATCTAGGAGTCTTGGTTGACCACAAACTTGACATGAGCCAACAGTGTGACGCGGCAGCTAAAAAAGCCAATGCAATTCTGGGCTCATCAATAGGAGTATAGCATCTAGATCAAGGGAAGTAATAGTGCCACTGTATTCTGCTCTGGTCAGACCTCACCTGGAGTACTGTGTCCAGTTCTGGGCACCACAGTTCAAGAAGGACACTGACAAACTGGAACGTGTCCAGAGGAGGGCAACCAAAATGGTCAAAGGCCTGGAAACGATGCCTTATGAGGAACGGCTAAGGGAGCTGGGCATGTTTAGCCTGGAGAAGAGGAGGTTAAGGGGTGATATGATAGCCATGTTCAAATATATAAAAGGATGTCACATAGAGGAGGGAGAAAGGCTGTTTTCTGCTGCTCCAGAGAAGCGGACACGGAGCAATGGATCCAAACTACAAGAAAGAAGATTCCACCTAAACATTAGGAAGAACTTCCTGACAGTAAGAGCTGTTCGACAGTGGAATTTGCTGCCAAGGAGTGTGGTGGAGTCTCCTTCTTTGGAGGTCTTTAAGCAGAGGCTTGACAACCATATGTCAGGAGTGCTCTGATGGTGTTTCCTGCTTGGCAGGGGGTTGGACTCGATGGCCCTTGTGGTCTCTTCCAACTCTATGATTCTATGATTCTATGATTCTATGAATTAATGCACGGAGTTTGGAAAGAGCTTCAGTTACAGTGGACTACCTACTGAATTTCAAATAACTCACACAAGGCAATTTGAGGGGTGATGTTAGAGTGGGTTTTAGGGTGCCATTTGAAGAAGGAGAGAGATCTGCGGGCAGGAGGTAATGTGATCAGGGAAAGGAGGGATAGTGAGAACAAGTGTGTTACAGGCTTGTTAGATTAACATGTGTTTCATGAAAACTGGTAGAAAACATTGTTAATGACCGAATTCCCTAATGTGTGGAAGAACAAGTCTTGGTGAAGCAGAACCAGTATGGTTCTGCAACACTAAGTCTCCTCTCAGTAACCTTAAAGAGTTATTTGAAAGCTTCAATAAACAAATGCAGGAAATAGAATACCTGGAAGTTAGGACAGCCGGAAATGTAGGAAGCTTTAACTAAAGGGTTTGTGGAAGCCAATCAAGGATTTAGCAATGGGGAAACTATTGTACTTACTTTTAATCTTTTTATGTAATTGGGTCCTTGCCAGATATTTTCATATAGCTTCACAATTTATTTTCCCATACAAATCAATAAATCCCAATGTTATTTATGTATAAAGTGATTTTGATTTTCCTTTCAAATTCTCTGTGGATTATGCCTTCCTCTTCAATAAATTAAAATGAGTTCACTGTCTTCAGCTCCTGCATTTTAAATAAATGATCAAAATAGGCTTCAGCCTCCAGTCATATCTAGCTGCAACCTTCTTGCTCCTCTGGGGCAAATTGAGGACCACACTTACATTTGGTAGGCAGGAGGAGAATGAGAACCAGGTTTTGCTAGCGGCCAGATAGCAAGTCTGGCTTCTCGAGGAAGCAGAGGGGTTTTGGGGAAAAGAGGCAGGACATTTCGGGAGTCACTGCTTGCAGAATGGACCGTCCTGGGCCAGACATGCCAGTGGCCTGATTCACAAGAAGGCAACTTTGGACAAGCATGTTTTTCAGAAGCAACCAATCCATGTTGCATGATTGTTAATTATTCTCTTTCCTAGTGTCAAATTTTGTGCCCTTTGCTGACTTGGGGGTCAGTGAAATGGATGTCATGCACAGAAGCACACAGATCACACACAGGGTTCTTTAAGAGTAATTTTTTTAATGTTGCTGCATTCCTAGATCCAAATGCGGGGCAGAATACTCTCCAGGAAGAGAGAGCCTCAGCAGAGGTTTTAAAAAACAAAACATGAAGCAAAGTGTAGTGTGAGAATAAAGGCTGTTAGACCTTTTAAATATCCCAGTGAGTCGCTTACATCAACTTCCCCTTTCTACCCCTGTAGCACACAGTTTGGTAAGTTTTGTTGAAAAATTACTTACAAACTTCAAAGATCAGATTCACGTGCTTTTTCATGCAGCAGCAAGGAAAACACAGGTGGAAAGACTTAGTTACAGAACTTGGTAAAAAATGTTTCTGAACATTCTCCTTTCCCTTCCTCCCCCACAACAAACACTCTGTGAGGTGAGTAGGGCTGAGAGACTTCAAAGAAGTGTGACTAGCTCAAGGTCACCCAGCAGCTGCATGTGGAGGAGCGGAGACGCGAACCCGGTTCACCAGATTACGAGTCTACCGCTCTTAACCACTACACCACACTGGCTCTCTGAAAGAGGATGAACAGCGGAAAGAAGGTGAACAAAAGAACTTTCTTTAACTGTCCGTCACCAGAAGTGAGGAGGTGTGACCTGGTCAAGTCTAGGAACAACGACTTACTCTATGGTTTTAACCCCTTCATGCATTAACTAGAGCTACTCATGCTGGTTATATGAGACTGCATTTCCCGCAGTGCCATCTTTAGTTTTTGTTGAGAGGTGTTCCTTTGTATTCAGATCA